CCTCAACCTATCTATAGGTAAGACATGGCCAGCAGTACTGGCTGTCTGCTTTCCAGTGTTGAACACGTGCATTTACACTGAAATAATACTGGAAATGGAAGCTGAAGGGGTTTTTCCATTGCGATTGCATGCAGAATGCGCACTCAGTGATTTTTTCCCTTTCAGGTAGCTGCCTTAGTTTTCCATACAAATATCACCATCTGGATATGTGTATGATGAAGCTTGTGGTATCCAATCTGAAATAAATTACGTAACTGTTTTTTTTTTTTCCACAGTGAATTTTCCCAGCTTTTCTTCATGCTGTATTGCGACATAAATTCAATTTGTTGCTCAGGCTTACTCACTTAGTGACAAATCCCTGTAATGGGTTAAGGGCACAGGAGGGAAAAGTTCATTTTTGACATATGAGTCATGGAGAGCTCACCTCAGGGGACAGGCTGCCAGGGTGTCCTTAGCTGCTTTTGGGGGGAAGCCCAAAGAAATTGGGAAAAAGACAAAAGGAAAATAGTGTTATTCTTGCTATTTAAAGCACTGTGCCCACGCTGGAGAGTGATGCCATAGTTACTGGGATGGCTCCTGGAGTGCTTGCTGGCCCAATTTCTGTCAGGGTTGCAGTGATGGAGGCTGCAGGGCACAGTGCCTGTGTGAGCTGGCTCTGCCTGTGGGGAGTTCTGCCTCACTGGGAAATGTTCTATAGGAAATGTATCAATTAAATGTATCTCTGTAATGTGGAACATTTTCAGAAACTGAATCTCTTTCCCTGTTCAGACATGTTTAAGTTGAAAATAAATTCTCATTTAAGGTCTGCTGAGGAACAAGAGAATCCATGTGTGGTGTACAAGGAGGTGTCTTTCTGGGGTGCTGTACAAGAGCAGTGCCTTGCTGGGGGTATTGTTAATGTGTATTGCTTTTTTGTTTCATTGGTTTGGTTTTGGGGGTTTTTTTTACAGCGAGATAAACTTACTTGGAAAGTTTTGTACTTCCCCTGAAATGTTTGATTGTGTGCTGTCAAGATTCTTGTAGTGAGGTGATGAATTACAGCTGCGGATGGTGAAGTAGAAGCTGAACCTTTCAGTCACTGGTGTGTGTTGTCTCCAACAGGCACATAGCATCCTTCCTGTCTGTCTTCAAACTAGTATTAATTGGCTTAATCATCGTTGGCAAGGACCCGTTTGCTTTCCTTGGCATGCAAGCTCCAAGCATCTGGCAGTGGGGCCAAGAAAACAAGGTAAGGGGCATAATTCTTTTACTTCAGAGTGACTTCACGGGTGCTTTGGGAGTCCCTCACAGTTCTGACTGATTTATCTTTCATACGCTGCAGCCTTGCATTAGCATAATTCTTATGCAGTGCTTTAGGCTTTTGACAGACCCAGGTGTGATTCTGTCATCTCTTTCCAAGCTGCTACTGCTGCAGAGGGACAGCTGAGGTTAGCATTGCTGACAAAGATGATAGAAGAGTTTATTATTTTTTAGGGCTCAAGAGTAGTATTTCAGGCCAGTACTGTTTGTGTTAAAATTGCAGCTTCCCTTCTCTGCTGTCTCATAACTGTTTTGCAGTTGATGTTTCCATCAGACTTCTGATAGATTGGGCAGCAATTCAATGGTGTTTAGAAAAATGAAGCTGAAATGTTGTGGGTGTTTTGCAGAGCAGACTCTGGCATGACATTGTGGGAGAATATCCCTGTGAGTCAGTACTGATGATGCCAGGAGATTCGGGGTGTTGTACTCTGATTTAGAGTAACCTTATTCTAGATTTACTCCACTAAACTAAAGCGATTTACAGACCCTCAGACTGAGCTGCCCCGTGCCCTGGGTCTCTCACTGGCCAGTGTGAACGCCCAGAAGCTGTAATAGTTCCATCCAATGCCATGCCCAGCCAGGCTGGCTGCTGTGCACTGCCACTGTCCCTATGCCAGGTTCCGTGGTGTTGCAGTGACCCATGAGGGTGTGCCCATGAGCAGGGAAAGGGAATTAAAAAGGTGCTGGTGATGAGGGAGGAGCTGCACTGCTGAAGATGCCATCCCATACACAGAAAATTCCAGATGAAGTGCTCAGAGATGTGCTGAAGGGCCTGTGGTTCCTGTGCACTCTGTGGTGTGCCTCGCTGTGCTGTTTGTGCTGGGCCTGTGGCTTTGTGATCTGGAGTGTTGCTGTGACAGTGACAGGCAGTGTGTGGGAACAGCTGTGTTCCTGTGTCACCCTGCCAGCTCCCCTGCAGCCAGCTGTGACGGGGCCGGAGGTGTGCAGAGCTGGAGCAGGAGCATGTACCTTACCTTGGTTTGAACCAGGGCTTGGAGCCGGGGGGGTTCAGAGCTGGTTCGGTGCTTGTCTGGGGCAGGCAAGGTGCACGGGCTGTGTAAAAGGAGGGAAGGGAGGTGTCTGTGGAGGGGAACATTCCTTGAGCAGTTCCTCCACACAGGGAGTTCAGAGACACCCGTGAATGTCCAGTGCTCACTGAGAATGAACAGCAGCATGTGTGGCTGCTGTGGCTGAGGTGTGTGTGGGTCTCTGTTCCCTTCCAGGTGTACGCCTGCATGATGGTCTTCTTCCTGAGCAACATGATTGAGAACCAGTGCATGTCCACCGGGGCTTTTGAAATCACTTTGAATGGTGAGCTGAGACTTTGTTTCACGGAATCTCATGTTGCACGTGTACACACATGAAAGCTGTGGAGTGAGGAGAATGAGGGATGGTGTGAGCAAATGTGGTGTGTGGAAACTGCTGGCCGTTTGGATCTGCAGATATCTATCTCAATAAATGATGAAAATTGTAGAAGTCTTATACTGCAGTTAACACACATGTCAGAGTAGCTCTGTAAAAACTTAAAGGGACACTTGGTGAAGCACACTACAGGACAGGGAAAGCATATAATTGGAGAGTTTGTGTCCCTAGCTGATCATTTCTGACTTAATGCACATCACACACAAAGAACAAACAAAACAGTTACTCCAAGGGACCCAACCAGGAGAGCCTTGGAATCCTAAGGAATCCATTGCTATTCACGGATTTTCAGTACCAGTGGACAGCAGTACTGATTTTTCAGGTTGAAAGGAATGTCAGTGGATATTTTGCACCTCTCCATCCATAGGAGACACTTCTAAACAGAAGCATTAGACAGTCTGCTCTCCTGGTTGGGCTGGAGCTTAGCATAGCCAGAGGTTGTAAGCATCGTTGATCCAGATGTTTTCCTCAATATAGATCAGTACCAACTCACACAGCTTCCTAGAGCTCCTCAGTTCCATGTGGACACCAGCCCTGTTTCCTGATGCTCCCAGTGTTAACAGTGCTTTTCTCCCATCGTGTGTTCTGCACTAGATGTCCCGGTGTGGTCTAAGCTGGAGTCTGGTCACCTCCCTTCCATGCAGCAGCTTGTACAGATCCTCGATAACGAGATGAAGCTCAATGTGCACATGGAGTCAATGCCCCATCATCGATCATAGCCCCATGGAACAGCACTGAAACTCCTCGTAAGTCTCCTCCCATCGCCAGTGCGTGTGCCCGGGTGTGACAGCACGCTGGAGGCTGAGCGTTTGTTCAGTTCAATGTTTTCCTGGAGAAGCAGCCTCTGTGACAGTAAATTTCTGTGTGTGGTGTCACAGGGGCTGTTTGGGTGGGAGGTTTTGGATTGTGGCTCGTTCTGCCTGTCTCAGAACAGGAAGCTGGCGTTTCATGAGGCAGGAGAAGCTGTGTTACTGTGTGCAGGAGGCCTGATGACAGTGAGGTGTGTGGTGCAGAGACCAGAGACACGCTGCATGATGTGCCTTAGAACAGTGCTTGTGCAGGGGATTTACATTTCCTTGGCTTGTAACCCAGCTGAATTGCACAACCTTGAAGAGCAGGACACTGTCCTGCCCTGTCCCTCTGCAAATCTCCACAGCTGTTGGCAGCAGTGGTATTTTATGACAAAACAATTCCATGTTCCCATGTCATGTGTGGCTTTCAAAACACGTAGCTTATGATTCCCCTGTGCCCCAGGTGTGCTGGCTCAGTGCAGGTGTGCCCCAGGTGTGCTGGCTCAGTGCAGGTGTGCCCAGCTGTGCCCCAGCTGTGCCCAGGTGTGCTGGCTCAGTGCAGGTGTGCCCAGCTGTGCCCCAGCTGTGCCCAGGTGTGCTGGCTCAGTGCAGGTGTGCCCAGCTGTGCCCCAGCTGTGCCCAGGTGTCCCGGCACAGGGGTGTTGCCGGCAGTAACGCGGTGTCTCCCCACAGGCATTGGGTGGTGGTTCCCGGGCCGCGTGGCGCAGACCCATGAAGGCCTGTGCTGAAGACAGACGCTGTTGGTGCAGGCTGGACGCCTCTCTCGCAGCCACGTTGAGCCTCCTGGACAAACACTCAATGAGCCCCGTTTCGGTGCTGGCCGGTCCCACACTGCACAGCCACGAGTGCAATAATACTGTATAGTTTTTTTAAGACTTCATTCGACCAGTTCATAGCTCAGCAATGCAGGCATTACTAATGGTAACTTATTTTATATTCATGTTTCACACAATGGCAGATTGAGTTGATACCTAATTTTTCCTTGGAAAAAGAAAAGTTTGTTTAATCTGTTGTATTTTATATGAATTTATGTTCTTTTTGTAGTTTAAAATGAAGTTATAGGAGTGTCTAATACTGTCCTAAACTGTTGAGTAATTGACAGCTGTCTACAAATTCTCTCTAATGTGGTTAAAACAGGTTTGTATATTTTTCAAAATCTATGACAGAGTAGAACAGTGCGTTATATATTGAATTATATAAGCAAAATTACATGCAGATTAGTTACATCATTTGGTGACTTCAGTGAAAATTAAGATCAGCTGCTCTTTAATCATGTGGGCCAGCTCCCGCGGTTCTTCCTTGGCAGTTGGAAAGATGAGCTGGGCCTTCCTGCTGTCCTGAATAGAACCCAAAAACATTAATTGAAATAAAAGAGTTCCCATTTCCTGTGTGAAGTACCTTGTTTGTCACTGATGGACATTCTTGGAATTGCAATTGAAAAACCACATAAAATGCCAACTTTCCAAGGTCACTGAGCTTGTGTCTGTCGTGTGTAAGCCCCCCGAGAACCTCAGCGTTCTGGGAGGGGCACGTGGGGCTTGGCCTTGTTCTTTGGGTGTGGCCACCCTGGGGGAAGATGGCCAGGTGAACCCCAGGCAGCTCTGAGGGGCTGCCAGCTGCAGCCCCTGTGGCCCAGGGGCCTCTAAATGCCTGCTGAGGGCTTGGTCTTTGCAGTGCTTTAACCAGAGCTCATCCCGGGCTGCAGCTGGTGCTCCCTGGGGCGAGTGTAGGTGATTGCCTTGGGTACTCTGTGGTCATTTGTCTCTCTCTGCACAGGGAACCACCTTGTCTTGTACCGGCAGCTGAGCTGCCAGCAGCACTGGTGCCAGGGACACCTGGGCATCCTGCTGGTGCCGCCTCATCAGGAGCAGCAAAGTGGTGCCTGTGTGGTGATCTGAGCAAAGCCCCCTCGTGCCTCCATTGCCAAGGTGCTGCCTGCCCTGAGCGAGACCCCCGAGGGGCTGTGGGGATGAGCCCCGGGCTGCCCTTTGCTCCACAGCAGGGCAGGGCCGAGGGGAGCCCTCCTGAGCGTGTGCAGGTACCGTGGCTGGGGAGTGTCTCTGCCTCACACCACACATGTGCTGCTCAGAGCTGTGCATTTACTATGGCCCGGATGGAGCTGCGCAGCTCCTCGCTGATGTCGGCGGCAGTGCAGAGCTCCAGGATCTTCGCAGCCTGGCTCAGGACGTACACGGGAGGCTGCATTTTGTTCCACTGCTCACTGGAAGGAAAGCTGATGCATCCCCGCATGCTGTTGAAGAGCTGCAGGATCCTGACCCGGAAGGCATGCAGCAGGAGCTCGTCCCTGCCCAGCCGGGCCGGGGCAGGCGGCCCCCCGGCAGCACCGACCTGCGGAGTGGAGGGAACATGTCAGCAGAGCCACCACAGCCTGGGACACGGGGCTTCCTTCCCCTCCCAGCCCCTGTGACAGGAGCCTGTGGAGGAAGAGAGTTGCCATGGACCCTGCTCACATGGACCACAGCTCTTCTCCGTGGCAGAGCCAGGGTGACACCTGGGGACACAGCCAGGGACACCAAGGACTGGGCCAGAAGTGCTTCCCACACTGACTCCTTGCAGAGAGCTGTGGCTGGCAGGTGCCCTGTCTGCGTGGGACTGGCAGGGGTACAAGACTGCTTGCTTTTTGAGGGGCAGGAGCATGGGGCAACATGGGAATTAGCATGCTTCCCTATGGAGAAGAGCTTCCCTGGCTGCCCCACTCCCGATGTGGGGAGCAGCTCTGCATGGAGAAATACCTGCACTTTGGTTCCCATGTTGAACTTTGCCTGTCGCCCCATGGCGAGGAAGGAGATGATGATCTTGTCCTGGGCCAGAATCCTGACCCCCACGTGCCGGTTCAGGGAGATGAAGATGGGGCTCAGTGGGACGTGGGGTCCTGGTGACATGTTTGGCCACGTCCACCTTTTCACCCTGCTGCCTGCTTGGTCCAAATACTGCCCTCCCTGGATACTCATGTTTATCCTAAAAGAGAGGGAAGTGGAAACTCTGAACCCTGCAGCTCCCATGGCAGAATGTCCCTCATTCCCCCCAAGGGTCAGGACAGAGGCACAGCAGGGTCAGGGTCTGTTCCCCGCCTCTCAAGGCATAGCTGGGGTATGCTGCTCTGGGGGGCACCCGAAGCAGGGCCTATGAGCTGCTGGATTTATCAATTTCTGGATGCCGCTAAAAATACCCTTTGTGGCCTTTGCAAAGGCAGTGGAGAGCACAGCTGCTGAACGCACCACTCATCTCCGTTGGGGTAATAGCACGTGCTCCTGCCGTCGGACTGGAACAGCGCGCGGATTTTGGCAGTCCTCGGCTCATCTTCCTGTACTGTGCAAATCATCTGGTCTCCCTCTCGTGTAACCATGATGGCCAGGTTTCCAGATGGATAGCTTCTGCCAGGTAAGGTGTTCATAACGCCCTGCTTTGCTGGTTGGTCTGTTATTACACACTAAATACTTCAGGGCACTACTTGGGATTATAAAATCTCATGTGTTAAAGGTGTCACCTGGGACACTGCCAATGTTTTGCTTTGGTGGCAAAGCTCAGGTACACTCCCATACCTCCCTGGGTCAGAAAGAAGTCAGCCACAGCAATGAAAAATAACATGGGTGACTTAAAATGTTGTGGCTTTAATAGTGGGGTTCCTGGGTGAAAGTGCCCTGTTTTCTTGCATCAGACAGTAGTGACTCACACTGGTAATCCCAGGCTGTCCATGCTCCTCTGAGGCACTGCCTGGAGGACAGGCATATCTGCCATGTGCTGGTGGGACTCTGCTGGTTTGTCCCCTGGGGTCAGGATGGGACTGAGCGCTTTGGGAGCCCCTGGGGTCAGCAGGGCCCTTCCATGGGTGGCCAGAGCTCAGGAGTGGGTCTGACTGCTGGGCTGGGTGCTGGATGCAAGTGCCCATCCCTCATCAGAGCTGCTGCCTGCTCTAGGAAACCTCAGCCCAGGAGCTGTGTCAGGTGTTGCTGCTGCTGCTCCTCAGACAGAGCAAGTGGGAGTGGTGAGCTGGGTTGTTCATGATAAAGTGAACTGGCACACATTTAAAATTAGTTATACCCCTGGACTAATGTGAGCAAGTGAACCCTGTAAGGATACAATAACTGCGAGGTTCCATCTGGGAGCAGGGTAAGGAATTTCCTTCCATGTTTGTAGTACTTTTGCACCAATTTACTCTTCCCCATCTAAGATTAGAAGGATAAAATGGATGAGAGCAGTCTGGCACAGCTGCCTGTGAAGATGGGCAGTGCCAGGCTCTGGCTGCTCGGAGCATGGACACATTCAAGGTGCACCCGTCGCCGTCGGCCGCAGGTACCTGCCTTCCTCCCCAGGGGCCTGAAACCAGAGCTGGTGACACGGCAGGACATGGGCTCCTCCATGAGCTCGAGCTTGGGCTGCTCCTCCATGAGCTCAAGTTGGAGCTGCTCCTCGAGGTCGGGTTTAGGCTGCTCCTCAAGCTCAGGCTTGGGCTCCTTCTCGGTCTCAAGCTCAGGCTTGGGCTCCTTCTCAGGCTCGAGCTCAGGCTTGGGCTCCTTCTCGGGCTTGAGCTCAGGCTTGGGCTCCTTCTCAGGCTCAGGCCCAAGCTCGGGCCCAGGCTCCTCCTTGGGCTTGGATGTGGTCTCCTTCTTGGGCTCAGACTCAGGCTCAGGCCCAAGCTTGGGCCCAGGCCTGGGCCTAGGCTCCTTCTTGGGTTCAGGCTTGTGCTCTTCCTCAGGCTCCTTCTTGGTCTCAGATTCCTCTTTGGGCTCAGCCTCGGGCTTGGGCTCAGCCTCGGGCTTGGGCTCAGCTTCGGGCTTGGGCTCAGCCTCGGGCTTGGGCTCAGCCTCAGGCTTGTGCTCTTCCTCAGGCTCCTCCTTGTGCTTGGGCTGGGGCTCCTCCTCAGCCTTGGGCTCAGGCTCAGCCTCAGGCTTGGGCTCGGGCTCAGCCTCAGGCCTGGGCTCGGGCTCCTCCTCAGTCTGGGCTACACTTCCAGCAGGCATCGGCATCTCGCCCTTGGGCGATGTGGTTCCAGCCTCCTGTGAACCTGGAGAGCAAAGGGAGGGCTTGTGTGTAGCAGGGAGGGCTGGCAGTGCCCACCACGGGCTGCCCAACACCTCTGCTGGTGTGGGAATTCCTGGCTGAAATGCTTCATCCTGGGAGTCTGTCTCAAGGTATTTTCTAACAAGGGCAGCCCAAAGTGCTCAGCTATTTCAGAATAGGAGAGAACAGGATTATGATAAAAGATGTCAGTTTTTCACTTATTTGTATACACATATCTGTGTAAATAGCAACTTTTTGGGATAGGATTTGGTTCCATGCACCGGAACTGACAAACGGAGATCCCTGGTAGTGCAGAAGTCTCAGTGCCCTGCCATCCTCTCTGAAAACATGCCCATTTGTAAATCTGGTTCACCTGTTCTTAGTCAAACTCTGGTTTTAGAGCTAGACCCAAAGGCTGCTCAGTCACCCACAGCCTGGGCTAGGAAGTGGTGGAGTATCCACCTGATCAGGCAAAATGGGGATCACCCTCATTCTGGCAGTTCCTACCTCCCAAGGGCTTGGCTTTGCCAACTTGTCCTTCTCTCAGGTTAGGTTCTGTGCATCTCAGCTGGAAACCTCACATATAAATACTGAAAGTCATGGCAAGGAGACCCTGTCTGTGCAAGGGGGATGTGCCTGCTTTTGTGTTCTCCTGGGAGGGATGGTTTAGTACGGCTGGAGCTGTATCTAATTTAATGGGATTGCACACCTGACAATGAACAAACGTGTCGCTCTATAAGATCCTCCTGTTCAATTAGACACCAGCAATTCCACTGAATACATTGTTGTGATAAATGGACAAATAAATCCATAAGGAAATGCCAACTCACCTTCAGTGGCAGTCGGCTCCAAAGACAGGACAGGTGACCCTCTAAACAGGTGGCTCTCCTGCTGCCTGGAAAACAGAAGTGTTCCTGATAGACATTTCATGTATCCTGTTTGGAAGGCTGGAAGTACTGGATATCCCTGCCTTAGGAACACAACTTTCTGAACCTGTTCTTCTCTCCACTCACACAATTGCAAGTAATAGTTTGAGGCAGCAGAGTATCACTAAAATACTCGTATCTCAGCAGAAAAGAATTGCTCCCACAGATTCCAGTGAACAGACTCTGCCATTGCAGTGGCATCAGTTCTGCTGGCAGGAGAGCTGAACACTGTAAACAGGTTTGGATAAAGATTTTATGTGAAAGAGGAGAGCTGCCTGCAAGAAAACAGCTCATCTCCAGCAATATTTTCCCTATTCTTGTGTAGCTTCCTATAAATCTGACTGTGACAGTGGTTTGGTGCGTGCTCTGTACATAGTAGGAGGCACTTGCACTCTCAGGCTGGGAAGGATCTTCAAGGAAACCAAGTTTACTTCCAGGTGTACTGGTTTACTTTTCCTTGAGCCTGTACTGGAGGCTTAGACACTTGCACAGGCTTTGGGTCGAGAACTTGAAGAGTTCTTGTGACTGGAAACTGGAATCCAAACATATGCCAGAGTTTATGGAGCAAAACAGAAATAAAAACTCCAGCTTTGTTTCAGTGCCTGAGGTAAAAGCTACACCCAAATACTGTCCCTTCCCAGAGCTGTGTCTGTGTTCTTGTCTCTGTCTGTCTCTAGATATTTCATCCGTCAGCACAGGAATTAGCACTTCACTCAGCACGTACCTTGTCTCCTCCTTGTGCAGTCCGGCGACAGAGGAGTCAGGGGGGACTGGAGAGAATCCGAACTTGTGGTGCCTGAAACAAAGGTTTTTCTTCTTTCATTCCCTCTCCCTGCAGTTTCTTAATGCTCCTTTTCCCTAGGAGTTGCCTGTTGTTCCTTATACCTGATCCCCAGTTCTCCCAGTACCTCTGGTTCTCTTGCTCCTTTGACTGCAGCTGATGGGCTTCGGAGCCCTGGTATTCATGGGTGCTGACAGCTCTGGGAATGCTGCAGGCATCCTTGAGCCTCTTCCTCTCCTCCAGGATGAACTTGTAGAGGTCTTGGTGGCGCTTGCAGCAGAATCTCTGCAAGGTGGAAGAGCGGAGCCTTGAGTGCAGCTGTTCCACAGCAAATCCCTGTTCGTCCTTCCCCCAGCTTACGTATTCCATGTCCTTGGAGAAAGGGACATCCTCCCGGGAAGGGACATCCTCAAGGACAGGGACATCCTCAAGGAAAGGGACATCCTCGGGGAAAGGGAACGGCCTCAGGAGGCTGCCGCAGTACTCACATCTCGGCTCAGTGTCCTCCTCTGCCTGCAGTGACATGGGGAGAGTGGGGAGGAGGGACAGGGGGGACCAGCCCCCAGATCCCCCTGTTAGTGTGAGGAAAGAGGGCTCTGCTCAAAATGCAACATGACAAAGCACCCAAGGGTGGTTACAACTGATCTGTGTCTGGGATATCTTGGAATGATTTAACTCAAAATATTGAGTTCAGGAAACCACCAAAAAGAAAAGCAGATCTGTGGTAAATAAATAAATAAATGCCCCCAAAGAAAGGGAATGACTGTGGTATTTATTAGCCTTACTCCTTCGGGGGAAAGCTGAGAGCACAGAATGCTGTAGCTGAGGATTCAGATGTGTTAACCCTTTCAAACACATTGTGTGGGCTTTGGAGAGAAAAAGCTGCTGATGGCTGCAGTCGTGGGGAGTTTCTGAGGAACCAGTGACACAGGGCTGGTCACATGTGACCAGATGCAACCCAGGGTGGCTGCAGGGTGTATTTTGAGGATGGGTACTGGATATCCTGAAACGAAGTTTCCTTGCTCCCAATCTCGTGCCTCGGATCAACTCTCTGGTGACTCTACTCTGCTAAGGGTTATGGAGAACTCCGTACCCTGCTCGTATTCTGCGACTGTACCTATTTATCTACATTTTGTCTCTGGTTTAGCCAGAGGCCAAAACCTTCCGCTGGGAAACTCTCAGCAGAGGCCGCGGCGGCGGGGGAGAGGCCGCGCAGGTGCGCACACCCAGCCCTTCCCAAAGCCCCGCACCACAAAAACCCCGTCACCGCGGGGCTGCTGCGCCCGCCCGCCAGAGCACGCTGGTTCCACGCTCCGTGGGACGGCGGGAACGAGGCAGAGAGGGGAGCGCCCGGCCCGCACCCACCTCGAGGTGCGCGGGTGCCCGCGAGGCCTCGCGTCTGTAGGCCAGGAGGGCGGGCAGGGCCGCGGGCGGCGGCGCGGCCCCACAGCGCGGCTCTGCCGGGCCACCCGCACCCTCCTGAGGGGGCTGCCCTTGCCCATGGCCCGGCCCATCGCCCGGCCCGGCCATCCCCGCCCGCTCCGGTGCCGTCTCCCGGGTGACGCGTCGGGCGCGGGGGCCGCCGGGACCGAGCGAGGCGGCGGCTCCGCCTCAGGCCCGGCCCGGCCCCGTCCGGGCCGCTCCGCCCGTGCAAGGTAAGGATGAAGGGCTGGGCAGGGGGACGGGGATGGGGGGGGGTCCGGGCGGCCCGGTAGGGCTGCCCGGACCACCCCCCCATCCCCGTCCCCCTGCCCCGCCCCTCCTCCTTACCTTGCACGGGATGGGGATGAGGAGGTGGGGGTGATGGGTGGGGGTCTTCTGCAGGGGGATGTGGGGGTGATGGGTGGGGGTCTTCTGCAGGGGGAT